ATCTCACTTTTCTGCATTGCCAGACCTGACAGTTCTACCACAATAGAAACTTATCCATTCTCTTTTCCATTGCTATAGTTTGTAATAAATTGCTGATAAAGTCGTTAATGAGGTGGGGGTCTCATATAATGCAGTCAGGAGGTAATTCGTTTTGTTTTCTTACAAATTACCCAATGTATTCTATTACAACAGTGCAAAAACCAGATGGAGACATTCAATATTACATTATTACATTCATTCTTCAAGACATAAAGCCTCTCTCACTGACCTGCTACCTATATTAAGATGACAAATGCCTACATACCAGATTCCAGGTCAACATAAAGAATTATCACTTCATTCATCCATCACTGGTGTAGTCAGCCAAGAAGACTCTACCACATTTCCACCAAGAACTCAGAAGAAATATACTACTAGCAGCAATTCAAAATCTGATCAACTGATAATGACTGGCAGCAGTTATGAATAGAAACCAACTTATGACAAGGTTAACAGGACAAAAACCAGAACAATTGGCTGCATTTTGCTAATTGCTATGTCTAAACTGTGTTTAACTCCACTATATTTGTATATATGTTTATAGATGTACTTATGTATTTTTTCAAATAAACAAAATTTTAGCTCATAAATTAGAACCTTCCTTTTGCTCCTTCTAACATTGTCTTTTATAAGAAAGTGCTTACTCTTTATGAACCTGAAATATGTCAGTGTTTTTCTGAAATCACCTTGACTTTCACCAGAGGAACACACATCACACCCATGCCAAGTTCTTTCCAGAGGTAAGCAGGCCACAGCCAACTCCTCATTAGTTTCAAAGGGAGGGAGGGAATTCAAGCAATTATCTGTATTACAGAGGGCAGGCCCTGATCATTCATACCAAGAACATGCTGGGTCACTCTCCATTTCCTGCCTCCCTTCCCCACTGAAGGAAAAGATTCTGCAGCCATATGACCACAACCCTGGCACACAATTCTATCAGAAAACCTTGTCCTTGTGCTATGGCAGTTGAACGATCTTCAGGTTTTTCTTTAGTGAATGGAAAATAAGTAGTCATTGCATTGCCAAGAAAGTTTTCCTATTCATCCCTAGTCTCCCCCAAGCAGTTTCAGCTTCATTTTATTTTTGTGAAGAAATACTGTGATAAAGCCAAATTCATGGCTTTTTTTTTGGAGGCCTAACAATCTCATATACCTGAGTGTTAGGAGAGCACACAAGGGCACATTCCTAAATAAGAACATTTCATGGCATTGCTGGGCAGACCCTGTACCAAAGACCCTAAATCCAGTGTCATGACATTTCTTAAATTGTGGCTAGCATTGAAACCACTTAACTGGACTTAGCCCTGAAACAGCTATTTCAGCATAAATAAGAAAACTCTGGAGCTACTAACAATTCATGCTTCTCATGTTCAGTTCTAAGTATATTGAGTATAAGCAACTTTTAGTCTCTCCTTCAAAAGAGATCTTTGTAACCTCCCCTAAGGTAATGTTTATTGTTGGTGACCTGATCAACTTACCTTACAGAACTACACAGATTTCATTTGGCATAAATAAGAAAATACAGCCTGTATGCACCCAGTTTTAATAATGAAAGGATGATGTCTGTCTGTGCCAGGAACTATTATTTTTAATTATATAATGTTTTTGATGTAGAACACAGACATCACTATTAATTATCATACAATTAGTGATATTCTATCTCACACCAACTTACAAGAACTGTTTGTGAACAGCTTTTTAAAATTTTTTTATTATCTTTAAGTAGTTGTACAAAGAAGTTCCTATTCTATAAAACAGTATATGAGTACAAAGTGTCTGACAACATTGTCACCCATCTCTCTTAACCCATCCCTTCCCTCACTCTTTTTCTTTAATTGAGATTAGGTGATTACATAAATTTCACATATTTCACAATATTGTGGAATAGTGATACTTAGAGTCACAAACACATTTTTCCTTTCACAAGGCTAATTGTCATTATCGTGGTCTATACAGTGTGTGAATTCTATGAGCTTTGACATTACAAGTTATTTTTCCACATCAGGTGATGTTTACAATTCTTTCCTTTGGCTTAGTGTGGGCTGTTCCCACTTATTCTGTTCCTCCTCCTGGCTTCCCTCTGTTGTGTGCATAGATCTACCATATATATGGTCTAGAACATGGAGTCATTTAGCAATGATATGACAAAATGGGTGGCTGACCTTTATTTCTTGAGTCCTGTTTGCCATATAGGAACTATTCTTTTAAGTGCTTGCTTCATAGGCATCCTATAAGGGGGTGGCTAATATTACATTATTCAATCCCTTTTAACTCATTTCTCCCAGAGCCAGACCTCATTTAAAAGCTATGAGGAAAAAAATCTCAATATGGAAACAGAACCTCTCCTTCCCCAGCCAAACATTCAGCTTAAAGTTCTTTGTCATCCTGCCATGTTCCCATAAATTTAGGTTAGTGATGGATCAAAATAGCCATTTAATGAGAAATGAAAAGATCTTCATGCTTTGGGGAAGAATTAGGAAACATCTTCTCTAAAATTGCCCTCTATCTGAACAAACTACAAATCTTCCTTCTCTGGTTTTTGGTCCCAATTCTTATTGTAAACTTGCAAAAAGCAGCCAAAAGCCCTCCTGCAACTTCCTGAATGCTGTGCTGCCTTGAGATTTCCTCTGACAGATCAACTAGTCTATTATCTTTCAACTCAGCCTCACATATAGTTGGGACATGGACAAGGGAAGCCACATTCTTTGCCATGATGCACGTGGAAGTCTTCTAATTTGATTCCCAAGAGTCCTTATTTTCACCGGAAACCTCAGGAGCATAATCTTTATTTTCTGAATTGCTATCATCAGCATTCTGGTCTCCCCAGCCCTAGCCAGAATAGCCCATTCAGATCTACTGACAGTCTTCTAGGGCACTTCTAGTTTATTTCTCCAAACATTTCCAAGCTTCTTCCACAAACCAATTCCGAAGGTTTCTGAGCCACATCATTAGGTACAGTCACAGCAATGACCCCATTGCTTGGTAGCAATTTTTCCATGCCATGGGCTTTCTCTTACTACTAAAAGATACCTAAGATAATCAAAACACGTTTGGCCCATACTTCATACTTTCAGAAGTTTTAGAGCTGGGACAATTGGTTCTGATGCATGAAGGCTTGTGGTGGGGAGGTAGCATATTGTAAAAAAAGAGATTAAGTGAGGAAGCTTCTTAGACAGCATAGCAGCTTGGAAACAAATTGTGGCAGGCAGGACCTCAAGATCTCTTCCAGTGGAACACAAGGCAGAGAAAGCTGATCACCTCAGGGCAACTGGGAAACAAAGACATGTCAAGGTTTTGATAACCTCTTAAATAGGACACCTCTAATGAGGAGACGTCCTTCTACTAGGTTCCTCTTCTTAAACATTCTAACATCTCCCCAAGCCTTAGTCCATAAGCCTTTGGGAGACATTTAAAGTCTGAACTATAGCATTTTATTTTATCCCTTCCATCAAGTGCCAACAATTTGCACCCTCACTCACCTCACCTATAACCTACCCACTCCTTTCACCCTCCCACTAGCCGGATCATCTCTTCCTATGTCTGCATAGTTCCCTGCTGATTCTCTCCTCTGTAGGGTTAGCCAAGGTATTTCCATTACTTTAAAGCCCCCTCCACCTTAATGTTCAGCCTGACAGCATACAATTAGTTGCTAATTTTAAGCTTACTACTGAGGCAAGGATGAATACATAAGGATTAACCAGATCATGGAGCTCAGACTGCATTTTTAAAGAAAATTCCTTCTCTGCTTTTAGTTTTGTGGAGTTATCATTTTATTATGTTCCTTCAGCCAAAGTCCACTCAAGTCTGACAGTCCCAGAGACTTCTTGGGTTTGTTATTTGTAATGACTGAATTAATGCAATCAGTGTAGTTGGAGGCCCTGGCAGAGACAATGGGGTTTGGGGTAGTAGTGGCAGTCAAGAGAGGATCCAGTGTCGACTATTCCATGCACTTGATACTGGCCACTAGCCTCCTTGCCTTTTAGTGGCTCTTAAGAGTTCCCACTGCAACTAGGATTGACATCATCAAACCCAGCACAGACCAGGTTGGTCCCCAAAGAGCTGACTCACCAACCCTGGAAACCAGGGGTGCCAATATTGGCCCCATTGGCTGCATGAGATCAAAGAGAAAGCATTCAAAGGCAAATGGACTCCTAAGTAAAAAGGAAGTAGAGGCAGCAAATGAGTGTTCTGTCCAGTTCTTTTTTTCTGGCACTTGACACTTTCTCCCATTCAAAGTGCCTGTTGTTACTTGCTTCTCCCTCGATCTTTCTGGCTTAGAAAGTGTGAAAATCTGTACCACTATGTACTTATATTAAATTCTAAAAGTAACCTAACTAGAGAGAGGGGTGATAAGGAGGATACACAGAAGAAAACTGAGGAAAGCTAGAGGTGCTTGCTGATGTGTTCTTCTTACGTGCTGTTAGACCTAGGTTCAGATCTCTGCATTAGTCATTGTGGTAACTATGGCTGTGCAATAGATGCCCTTTCCAGAGAACTTGCCATTCAGCTATAAGATGTGCATTATCTCATAGCCATCTTTGTAGTGTCTGTGAGAGCTGCTGTAGTTGGCCCTGAGCCCACACAAGCCCCCAGGCTGCCTTCATGCAAAACCTGGGCACAGCACAGTTACTGGTCAATTCTACCCAATAGAGAACTTCTTTTTCAGCAGTCTTTGTGCTAGAGATGAAATGCTTAATTCTGCCCTGCCGGCCAGGGTGACTTCTATCCACTTCCCTTTCCCCTCACCTGTTCTTTTCCCTGGTGTCAGACTTGAACTTCAGCCTGAGCTTTTACTGTTCCATCCTACTTGCAATTCCCTTACCTTTCAAGGTGTTACCTCTCTTGTCCTAATTCCTTCCTGGAATTCTGTTCCAAGACAATCCACTAAACACAATTGATTGACCAAATTTTGTGTCCCTATCCCTAAAAGTAAAGACACCATATTTTGTGATGTGTCAATAGGCATCAACTTACACATGGATTCTCAGATATTGGAAGCATCTAACAGTAAAATGAAGCAGCTGAGTGGAGAGTCGGGGGTCATAGAAACTGTCTTCACCTTTATGATCACCAAAATTGTCTTTATTTTTGCTGTATTGGGGATTAATGTTAGGGCATGGGCTTGCTAGGTAGGTGCTTTACTAATTGATCCACATCTTCAGACCTTTTAGCTCTGCTTATTTCTGAGATAGTACCTCAATTTGCACCCAGGCTGGACTGGGCCACAATTCTATTTTAACTCCTCACTATAGCAAGAGCAATGGCAGGTACTTCTATGCCTAACTATAGGTTTAGATGGAGTTTTGCAAACTTTTTTGCCCTGGCTGTCCTGAAATCATGATCTTCCTGATCTTGGCCTCTCAATTAGCTAGGATTATAGGCAAGAGACATCACATAGGTGTCAAAGTTTCTAATCTTGTATCTTTCTTTATGTCATATTTTTCTAGGGGAGAAAATAAGATTCAGTTTCTAGGATCTAGAAAGCTGTAAATATGGAGATAAATATGCAGTGGAAGAAGTCATAAAACTATTTTAGGGTGAGGTCATACTTGATTCCCTTTCCAACGTATAGTTCTATTCTTCCCAAAAGATTTTTCTAGGAAAAGAAAGGCATCTGTGATGGTCTATTGAAGGTTTGATGGTTTGATCATCTTGATGGTAAAGGAAGATGAACTGAATTGATTTAGTATGAACCTTTAATATTTCTAAACTAGGTATTAATATAAAGAATTATGGTACCTTCTAATGTTTCTTTCAATTTAGAGGATTTAGTCTCACAGAATTAGATATTATCTAATTCTGGAGTTGAAAATCATCGTGTAGTTGATCAGATCTACTCAAAGCATTGTGAACACACGTGGAAGGCACTGAGTAATGCCCCTCTACAATAGTACACGAGAAATATTAAGGTCATTGCAATGAAGAAACAAAGGGAAGACATAATACAACAATAATTACTTCCTTGGACTCAAAAAATTAACCCCCCCCCCCATGGAGGATGGGAAGGGATGGGAAAAGGAAACAAAGGAGGAGGCTACAATGCTTGATAAGAAATGTACTCATTATCTAGCCCATGTAATTGTAACCCCTCTGTACAGTATTTCACAATTAAAAAAATAATTACTTCCTTGGGACAATGAAAATCAAAGAAGTGTAGAATTTGTAATTTCTAGAATTCATTTGTTCCTATAATTCTATCATGAAAGAGAAAACAAGGAGAAGCGATAGGAAAATTAAACGAATCCCCTAAACATTAGTATTAAATGGCATTTTACTACCTTATGAGGAGTTTCCCCACTCTCCTCAAGAAAAAGAGCAGAATAGCAAACTTTCCTGCTCCTAAAGTGTTTACTTACTGTGCTCTCTCTCTTCAGTGGTTTTGATATACCTCACGTGGTCTAAAGAAGTATCAGACAAACTCATCTTCGAAAGAAAGAACCACTTAGTCTGCAATAAAAGCTGTGCAAGTAGCTCATTTCATCTTAATTAGCCTGCAGTGATGTGTCTGAAGCACTCTGCTTTCTTATCAACACCATGCCTCCTGCTGTAAGGAGGAAGACATTGATGTTTCTAACAGCTCAGCTCTGCAAACCAGAATCAGGACCACAGATCCTGCATTAGTGTTGTCAAAGGAGCTGTGAAATTGGACACCTAAAACAAGCCTGTCTTTGCACTGGAATAAGCTGTATTGGTTCACCATAAGAGGGCTAGAAAGGGACTCTTGGCAGCTATGTTCAGCAACTCAAACCTGTGTGTCCACTGTGTGTAAGACGGCACTGAGCTTTAGTGTGTGGACAGTATTGATGTTAGGGGATCTGTGTGCTTCACTAGAAAGAACAAAGAAGAAAGGCTATAAAGTCGAAGCACTGATGATGATTTTGACTTTTTTTAAAGAGGTTCTTTATTACATATAAAAAGTCTAGCTGGACACTGGTGGCTCATGCCTATAATCATAGTTATTCCGGATGCTAAGCTCTAAGGATCATGGTTTAAAGTCCTCCAGGGTGGAACAGCCTGCAAGACTGTTATCTCCACAAAAACTAAGAAAAAAGCCAGAAGGGGAGCTGTGGCTCCAGTGGTAGAGTGCTAGCCACGAGCAAAAGAAACTCAGGGACAGCACCCAGACCCTGAGTTTACCAACCAGTTACATTACTGAGACCAATGTCAGTCCACAGGTTATATCCAGACAAACCTCAGAAGCTTCCCTTTAGTAATTGTTTCCACCTGTCACCAGGAATAGAGTTCTCAGTGACCCTGGGTCTGTGTACAATCAGGAAACACAGTGGGAAGATTCTCTGGACTAGGGAGTCAGCTTCTGTGTAATCTTCTGGAGGTGGCCAACCTAAGTCTCTACAACACTCACTTCATTTACATGTCATTCTCACTCAGCCTCTCAGGAAGCCATCTTTCTGAAAGCACTGCAAATACTATGTGTGAAAAACTAAGGAAGGTATAAATAGCTTTCCACTTCTAATTGCACTTGCCAGCTCACATTTTGTTCTCTACTAGATCTGTAAAGGGACAGGCCTCACTCTCTGACAGCACAGAGCCCTGGGAGGTGAGTCAGAGTCTACTGCTGAGGGTGATCTACGCTTCAGAGCACCTCAGAGGCCCTTTCAGGCTGGAAGGATGGAGCTGCCACAGGTAGAGCCCAGTCATGCACACAGGGGTGATTTCCGGGAGTACCTGAAAGGTCAGCTCTTTGATGCTTCACTCCAGTCTGTGAATTTCTTTCTAGACCTCATCATTGCAATGGGGCTTGCTGTTCAATTTACCTTCCAGTGCATGCACCTGCAAACAAGCCATGATGTCAGACCACACACAAATGACAAGGCTGCGCTGTTAGCTGTGAAATGGACGATGATTTGAAATAGACTGAAACAATCCAAGGAAGATGTGTCTGTCTTTTTTCCCACTGGGAACAGAACAAGGCAAACTTTGAGAAGACTCCCTCACTCCAGTGAGTTGGCTGAACTCTATGAGCTCATAAAAGAACTGCTAAGAATCTGAAGAATGTCCCACACTCAAATGGGTGTATAGTCACATGGGCCCATACTCCTGGAGACTGGCTGCATGCAGCAGTCCTGAGTATTTACCCAGTCCACTCCTTGATCTTAAGCTTCTTCCATATTCAACTCAGACTCTAAAGAAATCAGACCTAAGGCGTCCATCACACACAGCTATACAGCCCCACTTTGTGGAAGAGGAAGAGTTATAGGCTGGAACGGCCTGTGACTATACAGAGTTAAACCGATAGGATCAGCCTAGCATTCATTCAGCCAGGTGCCTGCTGCTGTGTGCGATAAGCCAAATCTAGAGATCGAGCCATGGACCAAAACAGACAGAAACCTCTTCCTTACACCCTGACATATGCTATGAAGAACAATTGACAGGATGGGGGCCAGGAAGTTAGTTGGGTAAGACTGGGGGCTGTGGTATCGTATGTGATGGAGGGTTTCATGGGTGAGACAGGGTGAGGGTACTAAGCCACCAAAGCCATGGTGAGGGCCTCACCTGCATGACCGCATCTTAATTCCCAAAGCCTGCCCCTTCTACATATCATGCGCATATATATGCATTTGAGAATTAAATTGTTTAAGCGGTTTCAATTCTATTTTCCTGTCAAAAAGCATTTTCAGGTGGAATTATTTGACCTCAAGGATTTGCTTTAATGAAGCAGTTTTGCACCTGGAAGTACGTTAGTCACTTTAAAAACCAAAACAAAAAGATGCCTTTAAGATAGGAATTAAAATAAAAAGAGTTAAAGTTCTTTTCGGAGAATTTAAAATAATTACATAGTCTTACCAAATAATGATATTTTGAAATATAAGTAAAATTTGCTTTTTTTTTTTTGTCCTTAAGATGTATCTCATGAGGGATATGTAGACCAAAGCCTGTGCTCAGAAGCCGCTGGGAGTAATTTCTGTTTGTATATGTTCTATGCCCTTGCTTTGGTACATAGGCAGCTTCACAGGCTTCAGTTGGGATTAAAATTGGAACGATTTCTAGTATTTTGATCTTTGACTTAAACTTCTTTTGAAAATTTGAAGCATGTAAATGACTTATTTTACTATGCCATCAAAACAACCAAATATGAGGCATTCAGAAAGTCAAACTTTCATCTCTGTTCTCCTAAGAATAGTATTTTTATTGGATTTTTATGGATTCTAAATAGATTTACATAAATAAATATTATAATGAATAAACTATTCATACAGTTTTGCTTATAAGTACTATTATAATTTATGATAGAATTATTGTTCAATTTGTAATTAATAAAATACATTGATATGTAATTTATTAGATTTTATATTAAACTATAAATGATATACAAATATTCATATTTATAAACATAGTTTTATATTTATTATTGAAAACATAAGATACTATGTACATATTTTTAACTTTTAAATTTTTTATTGCATAAAAGAGTATGTGCCTTCACAGTGCTTTGCAATTTACTATCACATTGCTTTGCAATTTACTATCACATTGTTAGAGACTATGTGTGTGTGTAAGACCTGCAGGACCTAAGCTAGCACACATTTTCATTTCTACCCTATAGCATTGTTATAGGAATGTCTGCAAATGTGTGCTGATATTTCACTGTTTGCACGTATCAAAACCACACATTGGTAGTCCAGTATATGGATGTAGCATAAGTGTATAAAAATGATACATTATTTTTTAATTATTATTTTTGCCAGTGCTAGGGCTTGAACTCTGGGCCAAGGCACTGTCCCTGAGCTCCTTTTGTTCAAGACTAGTGTTCTACCACTTGAGCCATAACACCACTTCTTTTTCTGTGATTAATTGGAGATAAGAGTCTCATAGACTTTATTGTCCTGACTGGCTTGAACCCCGATCCTCAGATCTCAGCCTCCTTAGTAGTTAGGATTACAGACGTGAGCCACCAGCACTTGGCTGATGCATTATTTTTCAAAGGCCCTTTTGAACTATCTAATTCTTGCTGGGCCTGGTTTGAAAAAACAAACAAACTATTCTTTCCTTCTTTGTAGTGTGTATCATAAGCTGTGTACATAGTCACTGAAATTGGTTTAATAACTTAGACTAGGTATATTAGACCATGTCTAGATAGCCTGAAAGCTGCCCAGAGAGAAGTAGAAAGATTGAATTCTGTGGCTGGCCTAGCACAAGCATACGACTTTACCTATAAAAAGAAAACTGAAGCTTAAAAGGGGTCAGACATGGCTCATATGATATGGTATTGACAGCTTATGGTATTGACAAGCCCCTTCCTCCTTAAAAAGGAAAAGAATTTGCTGGGTGCTGGTGGCTCATGCTGTAATCTTAGCTACTCAGGAGGCTGAGATCTGAGGATCATAGTTCAAAGCCAGCCCAGGCAAGGAAAGTCTGTGAGACTCTTATTTCCAATAAACCACTTGGAAAACTAGAAGTGGCACTGTGTGGCTCAAGTGGTAGAGTGCTCATCTTGAGCTGAAGAGCTGAGGGACAGCACCCAGGCCCAGAGTTCAAGTCCTACAACTGACAAAAAAAAAGGGAAAAGAATTTAATACTTTTTAACCATAGGTATTTCTATGTGTTTAAAAGCTTTATATAATAGATTTTACATCATTACTGTCAGCTTTTGTTTTAGCTGCACTAAGTCTTTGTAAATCATGGATTGGTTTTGCTTTTCTTCAGCTGTTAGGAAATGGCATTCTCAGCAGAGTAAATGACAGGAGTAGAGGCACAGAAGCAAAACTTCAAGGTTGCATTGGAGTTAGTGGGTCATGCTACCTGTTGAGAACAAGAACTAGTACAGAACAGGAGAACGAGAGAAGGCCCAGCTGATTCAGAGTGATAAAAGTCGTACTCACTGACCTAAATTGAAGCAAGGATGAATGGATTTATTGAGATTAGACACCCTTGGAGATCTGGCAGTGCTATTAGCAAAAGTGAAGAGCAGAGATGTCATATACTGTGACACTGCAGGACAATAGGACTTTGAATTGGGGGGGTTCTTATGCTTTCATATTTACATTTCTGGATTTGCCTTCTGTTCCCCAGCAGGAAAGTCTGTTCTGTTTCATCCGTTCTTTTCTGCAAGTCTTCCATTGTCTGCTCCATCTTTTTCCCCATCCTCTCCAAGCATGCAGGTCAGTGCTTCTGAGAGGTGTATGGCCTCGAAGAAGGAAAGGCACAGAGCTAGCCCCGTAGCCAATCTGTCATTCACCTTTCTGATGATGAGCTACTGTTCTGGGCCTGACAGGCTGCCATGACTTGTCTCTGTACATGTCATCTCTTCCCACCCTTCTCCACCTAACAAGTCAGCCACCCTCCAGCTTTGTAAAATGAGATGATATAGAAAACAGCAGAGACAAAAATGAGGGTAGAAACGGACCAAAGATGAAGTACCAGACAAACATTATGATACAACATCTGTATGGCAAAGAGCGATGACCAGATGAAGCAATGGCTTTTAATTAAATAAAACACTGGGACATCATGTATTATTGAATAAAGTAGCTGATGTCACATGGGGGTCCCGGGAATGGCAGGAAGCATGCTACACACACTATTTTCCCATCTCACTTCTATAGCTCTGGGATTCACTATTGGAAACACATTTAGGCTCCAGGAGTTTGGCAACCTCTGTTTTTCTCACTGCCAGGACTGTGGAATGAGGAAGGTTAACCATGAAGGCTGCTTCTGGCTTTGGCTATGTATACAAAGGTTTGGAGTATTGCTGCAATTTCAAAGAACTATTTCATGAATCGCTTAGCGCATTTAATTTTATAACACTGTCTTTCTACCCAAAACTTCTCTATCCAGTTACCAACCATCTGTTTAAAACAGGAGATTTTGGTGTAGCCGTTAAAGAATGAATTGCAAGATCTGATATGTGGAGTTGGAACTCAGAGCAACACTGATGTAAAAAGGGAGGATGGGAAAAGACAGTGGATTCACCTTTAACACATTTATCATTAAGAGTATCTTAGATGCCCTGAAAACATTACAGGAATGGAGAGGGGGTATGTGAGGGCTTCTTGGCACAGGGCAAAACTTCTTAAATAAAGATCCAGAAACACAGCAAATCAAAGAAAGGCTAGATAAATAGGATCACATTAAACTGTAGAGCTTCTGCATGGCAAAGTACATAGCTAGCAACATAAATAGAAAACCCACAGATTCAGAGAACATCTCCACAAGCTATGCAACTGACAAGGGTTTCATATCAAAAATACACTGAGAGCTTAGACAATTAAATCCCCCAATAAAAAACCCTCAAAGAAACAACCACCTAATTAATAAGTGGGATAAAGAATTAAAAAGATACTTCTCTGAAGAGGAAATAAGAATGGCCAATAGACACATCCATAATAGACTCCATCCATAAAAGAAATGCAAATCAAAACTACATCAAGATTGCACCTCAGGGTCTGGGAAGGTGGCTCAGTGGTAGAGTGCTTGCCTTGCATGCCTGAGGCCCTGGGTTCGATTCCTCAGCACCACATAAGCAAAAAGAAAAAAGCCGGAAGTGGCACTGTGGCTCAAGTGGTAGAGTGCTAGCCTTGAGCTGAAGAGCTGAGGGACAGCGCCCAGGCCCAGAGTTCAGGCTCCAGGACCGGACCGCCCCCCCCCCAAAAAAAAAGATTGCACCTCGCCCTAGTTAGAATGGCCATTATAAAGGAAACAAATAATAGTAGATGCTGGTGGGGATGTGGCCAAAAAGGAACACTACTACACTGTTGGTGGGAATGTAAACTGGTTCAACTATTATGGAAAGCAGTATGGAGGTTCCTCAAAAGACTAAACATAGAGCTTCCTGATGATCCACCAATTCCACTTCTGGGCATTTACCCATACAATCACAAACAAGGCCACACTAAAGATATGAGCACAACTATGTTAATTATACCATTATTTATCATAACTAAGAGATGGAACCAACCCAAATGTCCTTCAGTAGATGAATGGATCAAGAAAATGTGGTATATATACACAATGGATTCTATGTTTCCATCAGAAAGAATGACATTGCCTTATTTGTAAGGAAATGGAAAGACTTGGGAAAAATCATATTAAATGAAGTAGGCCAGACCCAAAGAAACATAGGCTCCATGGTTTCCGTCATTTGTAATAATTAGTGTATGTCTAGGATAGTCCTAGCAAAGGACCACAACAGCTCAATAGCTATGTACATATGACCAAATAAAATGAGGCTAATTGAAATAAACTCCAAGATATGGAAACAAGTGGTTTGTTGTTGTTGTTGTTGTTGTTGTTTTTAATGGACTGTGTGCAATTATGTTTTCTTTATTTTTTCCTTTGGTTTATCCCCTGTCATAACTGTTTTTGATTTTGGTACCCTGTGTCTTGTATATTCATTTATCTGGCTTGGGGAAGGGAAGAGAAATAACAAAATGGTGAAACAAAGGACAAAGGGTGAACTAATGCAACAGCAATGCTCACAAGAAACTGTGGTGGAAATGAACTTTACACTTAGGGAGGGGGAAGTCGAGGAAGAGGGAAAGTGGGAGAAAAATGAGGGAGGGGTAGCAATGTTCAACAATAAATATACTCCTCATTACCTCACTTATGTAACTAACCCCTCTGTACATGACCTTTACAATAAAAAATTGAATTAAAAAAGAATATCTTAGAAAAGCAAGGTTATGCAGATTGTTTCTTCATAATGCATGATATAACAGCAAACAGGAGTAAAAACTGCTCTATTCCTTTCTTCTTATGTAGCTTTACATAAAGGTCATGCCTACAATTGTCCCTATTGGTCTTCAAACATCACACCTCATTTCTATCAGGCTGCCTTGATGAGAAATAGCTGAGAGATCATACATGCTTCTCCACTGCCAGAGAAGGAGGGGTTCTATCATGACCTGGGCTTGTGGCTGAATTTTGATGCAAAAGCTTTTGGTATCACCCAAGTGCTAAGTAATGTAGGCAAATATAGACACTAGCTCCATACCTCTTTTGAATTCAAAATGAGTTTAAAATGTGGTCCTGTCTTTGCACCTTCTGTGCTCTTTTTAACCAGTGGATCAGCCTCTCTTCACACAGCAGGGCTGGGGCTGCTGCACCTGGTTGCATTATCTGAAGGATAGCACGAAAGTCATTCAGTGGGAATTGTAAACCTAGACTGAAAGTTGAAACCTTCAGTTCTGGGTCCTTCACATGGATTCTACCCTACACCCTCTCTCCATTCAGGTTCAGTGGCACCTGAATCTTACTCTCTTCTCTGTAGGCTGTGTCTGTCTACAGGAGATGCACAAAGGGGTTGCTGTTTTCCAGTTTCCCATAAGGATACTTTGCTGCAAGCCAGCCTATGCTTAGTGTCACTTAGGGATAGCACAGCCATCAACAACTTTAAATGTTCAAATAAAACAGGATCCACTAGTTCTGATCTTGCTACTCAAATGTAATAATGGAGTGTAAAACATAAGTGACTTCAAGTACTTGTTGCAGATCACTATCATAAAACCATTATAGGCCTCAGCAAAAAGGATATTTGTAAAGAAACACAGGAAGAATTGTTTCTAGACATTAGATATATTGATTTAAAACATAAGGGAGAAACTGTTGTTTCTGCAAGATTTTGCTTATAGCAATTCAACTGCTTCTTTCCATTGGCCCCTTTCCATTGCCCTGGTAGGTTGGGAGGGAGGAGCTAATTGGCCTAATTGTTCAGGCTGAGCAGAGTAGGGCACAGAGGTCAGCTAGCCTCCTGCTGATCATATGGGGAATCAATGGAATCTTTGGGGGCAGCAAATGGACTCCTGCCTTTAGGCTTCTGCTCCTATAAACTCTGGAAGGCAGGATAGAGCAGGTAGTCAACACATCCACCTCCGCAGCTGCTCCCTCTTGGCTCTTTGACATCCCTGCTTCATCTCTTCAGCTTCTTTCTGTATCTGAGCAACATCATCCTCCAGTTTCTTCTTCTGGCTGAGGATACTTATATTCTAAGGAAAAGCAGTCTTGCTGTCAGACAACTTGAGATCTGCAATGCAAAATGCAAGCTAGTCTGTTCAGGCTTTGCAATGAAGGTAGTTCTTACAGGAACAATTTTATCAGTCATGTTCACTTAAGCAAGACTTCCAACCCCAGATGGCTTTTGATGTCAATGGCATGTGTGAATGGAAGGGATTTTGTCTATTTAGAGGATCAGAATGAAAGACATGGCAGCCTGAGTCAGAAAGGAGAAACAGGTCCCAGATAACCTATTGCCCATACAAGGGTTTGATTTTTTTAACTTCTTGAGGAATGTTTTCCTGCTTTTCAACGGGCTAGAAACAAGCGTCTCCAAGAGGAAGTTGGGGTCACCTGCAGCCCCCTGGGGAACAAGAGGTTTGAGAACAAAAGTCACAGTTCCAGCATGCTGCTCCAGAGAGAAAACCAATTTCTCTTCTTTATCCCTCTGCCTTCCTGCTTACCCTGCAGTGAGGAGGAGGTGGGAAAAGCAGCTCACAAAAGCCCCATCCCCCAGCCCTAAGGACCCTATTAAGTGGAGGATGCTTTGTGCACTGCAGCTGGGGATGCCCTAATTCTTTCCTTTTTGAGTTTGACACTGGAGGCCAAAGCTCCCTTTGCTGCATCTGGGCAGTGTTTGAAGCACAGCTTTTCTGAGGGTGTGAAGCCTTAGCACAGAGCATGTGTATAAAAGGCACAGCTTTCTAGCTTTTATTTCTTCTTTCATTTCATCCTCCATATTATGCTTTCCCTTTCCTCTAACTAGAGCCTCTCTCAGGGGCAGGATTAAGGCTTGGAAGCAGAGAGAAAGACATGCCAGCCTCACTGACTCTGCTTGCCCCCTCTGTGGCATGAAAGATCATCAA